AACTTCTTGCATTTTATTAAGAAGTAAGGAAATTATACTGAAATCAAATACAAGATTCAAACAATAAATAAAATGAAAATACCAAACCTGAAAAAAAATCTAGCTTTGAACAAAAAACCGCTCTCCCTTCTTTTACTCCCCTCCCATGAATTCCAACTGATGAGATTAATTACACGTGCAAATGGCAGCATCAGTTAAAAAATATGTTCAATGAGTATTTAACACAAATCTGTAACACTACAGTCATTCTGTCTTGCACAGGAGAAGCTACTTTTTTGTACTGTAACTTTTTTTGGCTGTTATTTTGTTCACTAGATCATTTCAGAAAGAGGTGCAGTGGCCTTAGGAAGTCTTGTACCTTTCTATAGGCAATTTTTTCCTCCACTTCCCCCTGGCTGATATAAGCAGAGAGACTTTGTTCCTGTGCACAATGACACCCATCACTTCCACTGATAGAAGTAAGGAAAAGTATACTTGTAACTAAAGGGGGATTTAAAAGCCATCAAAATCCTCAAGTGGAAGTTGCTGAGTGTCTGCATGATGGTTCCTCATCATCAAGGCTGACAACTGAATATTTAGGAACTATCACATTAAGAAACTTGGCTGGGTCAGATGGCTGTTCAGCTCCATAGCGCACGCAGCCAGGAATGTTTACAGGGCAATGGTTACAGTGCCCGTCAGAATCCTAAACAGAGTGGTGTACCCATGCTCACTATATTTTGCAAATACATGCAAATGACATTGCTATTCTACTCAAGTTCTTATACCGTACTCATTGCTGCAGTAACTGAGCGTCTTCCAGTACCGCAGTAATTGGCCAGGTCATTTGTTCCCTCAGGCAGGGAAGCACATATGTGTCAGTGCCTTGTTTTAATGCCAGTTTTCTATTCTTAAAAAAACTCAGTTTTAATACTAAGAACTTTTGATTGACACTTTCAGTACAGTGTATACCCTCAGCAAATTTATTACATTTCTGTCCAGAAAGCCCAATGCAAATTCCAAAGGTCTATAAATTTAGTTGGTTATAGCTATATGAAATTATTGCAGACGAACCATGCTCCAGCTCACCCCTCCCCTCCAAAATCACAATAGCTGCAAATGAAGTTCACAATACTGCATAACAACATCTTCTAGTAAAAGAGCATTTAATATGAATGTGACATGCAAATATTAAGACAGGACACCAGACTTCTTTTCTTTCCCCTTCCCACTGGGTGTTTTATTTTATATCATTTGCATTAGGTAATCAACTGAAACACTTCAACAACAGAAAGCTGGCAGCTTATTAAGGAAAAATGGAGATTATTTCTCAAACAGCTGTGACAAAATGGTTTCAGGTTGGAATAGTATTGCACAAACAAATCAGTTTACGGAGGGTGAGTGGGAGCGAGAATCTTCAACATGGATTGTGAGGAAAAAAGGCACTATTTAGCTGTGTGTGTGTTTAAAAAGAAAGAAGTCATGAAGCACAATCCACGTTTTTCAAAATTACATTCAGTACTGCTTTAGAAATGCTCACAAACCTGTCTCTTTTTACAGAAGCTACAGAAAGCTGCTGATGTAAATATCAGACAGTACAAGTGTATGAACAGTTATAATTATGCTCCAGAAAAGTCTCAGGAAGAGGGCTCTTTCTATAAATACTGCTGCAAAGGCTACATAGTTGCATAGGCTTATAGCAAAGGAAGCATCCATGCAACTAAGCAGCCTGATAGTTTCCTTAAATTTAATCTCTAGTAGTCATAAAATATGCTCTAATTTTGAAGAGCTAAACTGGCAGTGCACTTGAATCAGGCTTTTCCACTGACTGCTTAAGCAGCACAGTTCAGAGACCGTCCTCCATATATCTTTTTGTCATATACACGTTTAGCAACGCCAGGTAAGCTTAATGGAAAATGTTAACAGAATTATAACTGAAAATAACAGATTTTTCCCTGATATAAAATAGAACTGCTCTGAGACCATAAATAAGCAAATGTTTATTCCTGGAAAGTAAAAATAGCGAAGCATCTTCAGAAAAACTAAGTACCCAGAAAAGGCATTTCAGACGACCAGGACGGGCTGCTTCTCCCTCTGCCATATTGTATAGCTACAAATTTTCCATGCCTGTTTGAAAATGAAGCTATGATCAGTGTACCATTAACAGAAAGGCTGCTTGAAAATCAACCCAGAGCAAGCAGGATTTTGCACGTAGGACATTCTGCACCCTAGCCTTGTGTCTGCTTACAGATGCACTAACAAAATAAGAGTGAAATTCTTGTTGCGTGGCTGCAGAATTATTATGGGAAGGAGCTAAAAACACTGTCGCCTTCCTGTCAACACTGCCCAGTGCATCACAAGAGCTCCAGGCATGCTGTGGTTAGGGGAATGTAGTTGCCAGCGCAGCTGGACCAAGTGCCATTATGCCGACATTAAGAATTTCAACACGGCTACAGTTTTGCACAAAATCTGTGTGTTAATTTTGTACAAAAAGTACAGGACAGTGTAACAAAACCTACTCTCAACTATATATATGAGCATTTCAGCACCTTTCAAATGAACTTAGGCTGGCAAAAAGCCAATCTCACTCCTATGCAGAGACTACAGTGACTTCAGTTAAAAGATCTGTGTTCAGGAGGCTGCATAGTAAGTTTACTGATCATACAACCTGCAATGACAAAAATCCATGTATTGCTGCTTTTCAATATAAGTCATTACGGGAAAATACACAAGATACATTCTGTTTATATATTGTAAAACATTTTTAATACCAACAATTTGGATTGTTTCCATTTCTGAATAGAAGATGAAAAGAGCAGGTTATTAAAAATCTGTAAAGCTCCTTTTCCTAAACTGTCTTTTAGGAATCCCAAGTTTGATAATTCTGAACTCAAAGGATTCTAAAAAGTTCACAGCTGACTTAATGATTGCACTAGATATAAAACTAGATAGTCTTGATTCCTTCTGTGTTCCACAGACAAAAACATTTTCAGAGTACATCTGGAATGAATACCTCTCCAACTGTTGCTAACATTTTAAAAAAATATTCCTAAAATTCTTGTTTGTCTCAACCCTGTCATTTCACAGCAAAGAACAGGAAGTGATACCTGATTGAATAAAATGTGTTTTCTTATAAGAACTATGAAAAATATATTGTTATTTTAAAAGTAAAAAAAAAAAAATCACCTCGTTGTATTCTTTTTGTTACTGAAGATGCATAATTAAGAAATTCTAAGTCCTGGAAGGAAAAAAAAAGAAACACAACTTTCAAAATTGTTTCCAGAATAGAAGAGGTTTCTGTAGACCCTACTGAAATCAGTAGAAGTTTTGCCCATTTTTTTTCTTGTCAATACAAAAGCATTTGTCTACACACCTATTTCATTACTTAGATGAATACTGTACGTTTTCACTTAGCAAACTCTTCTGCTCTCTTAGAGTTGCTTTTCTGAAAAATCTGAAGGAGACACAAGAAGGTAAACTGATCCGAATTATTCTGAAAGAAAACAACATATCAAAATAAAATCTAACATAAAACTATCACAGAGTGGGTAATCTTTCCTGGGATTATAAACATTCATTCATTTTATTTCAAAAAAGTTACTGATTTGTTATGGAAATTTTTAGATCTCCAGTAGCTACTTCTTGCATATGACTCCTCAGTTCCTTTCTTTAGCTAGGACATATCTTCATGTGTGAACTAACACATCCTATTCCCAAACATGTTGGCATTATTAATGATGTCAATAGACAAGAACTAGAACAGGAAATTTTATGTGTGGTCATACTATATAAATGGTAAGCTATCAGAAGGAATTTCCCTGATTATTTGGGAAGAACAAAGAGAGATATATTTTTAAAATTCAGAAGGAAAAATCCAAGAAAGCAAAGAAAATGCAAGATGTACTTGATAGTTTCTCATTATCCCCTCTGTAACTGGGCTGTTGCTTTTGGCTGCAGACATCCTTTGTTTTTGTTACAGGAACAAGCTGGTTAAAGAAACTTCACTTCGTAATTTTAAAATAAGCCTTCAGCATCATCCCTTAGGAATTCAAATCTTTACCACCATTCCTTACTTTGTCTCCTCGGTGCCTTCCCCCATCAAACCCCATGAAAAGCACTTTAGGAAAAGGCAGGTGTAATATGCATAAATACTCAGATCTTTAAAAACATTAAATAGGAAACAAATTCTTGTAGTTCTCCACTGCCATTTGCTATAACGCAGTGGCCCCAAACATCTGTTCTCAAATTTCAATTTACTTTATCTACCAGGTGTTTCACATTGTTAGTAATGGCAACTCACAAATTTACAATAGTCACATAAGGCAGTTACGTAAATACAATTATGTCAGTCAAGTTCATTGCATCTTTCTCAACCAGACTACACACGACATTTTTCTTCTTCTCCTCTTACCATAAAAAAAGTATGAAGGCTACACTTCTGTAAAGAGAATCCCTGGACAACATTCTGGTATTGAAGTCAGAGAGGTCACTGAAGTGCATTTCAGCAATGTCCAACAGTTAACCAGGAAGGAGATGTGATGTTTTTCCCTTCACACGTAACAGAACTGGTGCAAAAAACCCACTTTGAACTAGTAACTTTAAACCTTTTGGTCCAAATACATAAAATAAGCAGTATATACAGCATTTTACTTCTTTCATAAATGCAATGCTTTAAAACACATTATAAAGCCACCTTAGTAAAAATATTCTACAGGTAAAAGTATCGAAGTAGTAGGAAAACCCTAACCATACCACAGCTCACTAATGGAGTCATAATATGGATTCACCAATACCTCAGTTGACAATTACTACAAAGAATCCATGGAGAAACTTAATACTGAATTTACGATTTTTATACCACTGTGTAAGGATCAACTCGAACTGCAGACAATACCAACTTTCTTCACAGTTTTCCCAACCTCAGTCAGTGGTGGTGGGGATAAAAAACAAAACAAAACCCCTACTGCTCTGATTCTTTAACTTTTTACAATATGAATGTGAAAATGATGTTTTAACACTAATGATTATTTGTAGTTTTTTAATAAAACCATATATATAAATATGGGCAATTCCAGCAGCAGCAGCATTTCTCAGCAGACCATGATTAACCATCCCAAGTAATATCATGTGACATGATTCACAAAAACAAAGCACAGATGTACCAGTTATTAACACTACTCATATTGTATACAACCAAAATTTCCATGTTGAAAGCTGGGAAAAATTATTTCCTTTTCACAGAAGTAGAAATGAAAATAAATTGCCCTGAAAATTAAAAAAAGAGCATCAACAGAAGCTTTTTTTTGTTTGTTTATATTTTCAGCTAGAATTGGTGTGTATTAATTGCTCCGAATTAAAGTGTAGATTTCTTCAGGTAAAGGATATTAACTCCCAAATAAAGTATTAATTAGATAAAAGAAATGAAGCCTTTGCTTCTGGATTACCAACATAGTTAGCCAGTGTCCAACGCCCTGGAGGTGATCCACAGCCCACTTTACTCAGATCTATAAAGAAATGTCTTTGAGGTCTACAAGCAATCTAGTTTCCATGGCTGAGGACTAAGATGATGATGTGACCAAAGATTTAGGTCCATAAATCTAACAGTATAGTGTTCTTAGTTTGATTTAGGGTAAATCTTTTCATAGAAAAAGTTTTGAGACAGAATATACAATTCTCCATCTTTTTCCCGAACTGCATGTGCTCTGACAAACTGAAATTGCTCCAGTGCAAATTCATAGAACTCATTCTCCATTTTCCAGATTTCAGACTGTTGTAGCTTGGCAATAGTTTCTTTTGTGGGAAGTTTTTTCTCAGTTGTTTTCCTAAGATGAGACTTCTTTCCTAAATGCAAAATGAAAGCAATAACTTCACTTTAAAGTTCATGTGATTAAAAAATGTTTACAGTCCTTTTATTTACAGAGTTTTATACTCTCAGCATGTTGATAAACTGCATTAGAAATGACAGAATTTAATCCAGGATTTATTAACATAACATGCAGGGTTGGAAAATTGCAGTCTCTCTCACTAAATGTTAATGAATTTTGCATCAGTTCTTTCAATTCTTCCTCCTTACTCTAATAAACCCAGGGAATGAACATTTCATTTAAGGAACAAGATTACTCCACATAATGTACTTGGAGCAAGATGGGTCTTTCAAAATTAATTATTTAGATGTTAATCTGGTATCAAATGTTAAGAATTTTAAAAACTGCAGAGCAAGATACTTTAATGGGACAAAGATAACCAAAATGATGACTCCCTAAGAAGTGCTATTTGTTGCTTTATAATAAACTTCTTAATACTACACATCTAGCCTCTATACATTAGACCCTTTTCTCCCTCTATGTGCAGACAGAAGCCCTGCTAAGATGGACCTTTTCTTCATCATAAGTTGCATGGCCAGCTCCCAGAAACAGAGCTACTCGCTACATAGTGAACATCTTACTACGATCCCAGGAAGATAAACATATACTTGGGACTTCGTATCCCTTGGGCTTTTTTGCACAGTCAACCAGGTTGCATCAAGCACAGTTAATTTCAGCAGGGCTTCTGAGGAAATGGAAATCTGCCACTATCAGACCTTTCAAAAATTTTTGAAGTGTGGTATACCTACATAACTGCCGTTACCCAACCTTAAATATTTACAATCTATGTAAGGCAGGAAGATACTTGGGCTGCCCTCAAAAATTTCTATGGAGAGCCTTTTAAAGATCTTGTCTCTTCTGTAGGAACATCAGCCAACTGAGAGGCAAACCTGGCACAGACTCAAAACTGTTCATCTAGGTCTAAAGAATTCACATTAAAAAAAAGTGGTAAGAGGATGAATAACCCATGGAATCCATAGAAATCAACCATTTAAATACCTGTACGGTACAGTTCTGTGGCACCCCTGAAGAACCGGGGCAAAGCTGCCTCCAATAACATGATAAAGTCTTCAAGCTCTTCGGTAACTCCCACTAGGAAGTATTCATTAATCAGATTGTATTTGGCTTGTTCCAAAGCCCATCTGCTTCCCACATTCCTAAAATGACAGAGAACAATTAGAGCAAGTTCTGATGTCAGCCAACAATCCTTGGTCCCTAGATGGAGATTACTTCATAACAGGACATTTGTATAGGAAAGGCAAGACTGCTTTCCAGCTCTAACCATTGCTAAATTTATTGCCCTTTCCAGTTTCTCTCATCTGTGTTCTTATCTAAAAATTTGACTCCTCTAGTTATTTTGACAGTAATTCATCCATGAAAAAAAAGCATGTTTGCATATGGTTACTGTCTCTATTAATGCAATTTGTGGAGGATTTGCATTTTGTTGATGTCAATACTCAGTCTCCACTTTCACATTAGATACCAGAAATGGTTCTGTTAAGAACACACCTTCCCTTTCTCATCCTACAAGCTTAATTCTGAACTAGAAAGTCATTGTGCTTAATGGGAGGACTTCCCTACTGAATGACAGACAGAAATTAAACTGACTTTTTTTTCTCCTTTTTATTTCTCCTTTTTTTTCCTCCTTTTTCACTCTGGACAGAAGGAAAAAATAAGTTCAGAGTTCTTTCTTTCCCTGCTTCTCCACCTGGCCCAGGTATAGATAGGTTTGAGCAAAAGGCACTGAAAGAGGAGCTCCCAAGCAGCCATTTACTTTGCTTATGTCTGGATGAAGAGTACCTCTGACAAATAATTGCCCTTGATTTAATTCAGAATCCTTCAAATCATCTATGTCACCCCCCCTTATTTTTCAGTTTGCTAAAAAGTTTTTTAAAGTGTGTGACATTGTTATAAAACACACTGCATTGACGGACAGTATTTCCTTTTGTTTCAGTTTCTACTAAGTAGCATTGACTACTGGGTGTCAAGAAGATAAATTTATCCTGATCTCTATTATTTTATTCTCCACAGAAACTCTAGAAGATTGAACGAAATATCTCCAACCAGAAAGACGGATATTGTAGCCTGACATAAGAGAAAAATGTGGAGACTCCAAATCTACAAAAATTATTTCTAAAATGGGAAACATCTGTTTTGTCTCACAGTGCTGCTGATACAGTATCCTAAAATATTGCTTGTTTGAAGAACTGCAAGACTGTTTCAGTAAAATGCATCTTCAAAAGAAAATACATTACTAAAGTACCTGCTGCTTCACTATGTACAGTCCCCCAACTGTGCTACATAATCAAATCTGCTAAGTTTAGATTTCAGCACTGAGATACTTGACTAACAATTTAAGCTACACTTGTCTCCCTACCAGCATTCGGAGCTGTGGCCACAGAAGAATGGAATTTGAAGCCAAAGTTTCTCTGGAGCACAGTCTGAACCTCCAGCTGCCACACATTCATCAAAGGTCTAGAACAAAGACAAAGTTGAGCTGAGCTTTAATATCTAGGATGTGTATCAAACATCTCAACCTGGTTACTTGCTAAATGTAGCAGAGACAGAACAACACAAGATATCATGTGAAAGAAAAAAAATGTAATTTTTCTAAGACTTGCTTTCATGGTATTATTAGTAGGACCTATTTGTCTATTAGAACTAATAAAAAATTGATCTTACCTGATATATTTGACATAGCTTTACTATAACCTTGATAAACTCTATATGTCAAAACAAACAAAAACAGCCAAAAAGTGTTGGTATCATTATTTTTCCCTTACAAAGGAAGTTTCTAAAGATACAGTGTCAAATGTCATCAGGATTTGTGTGATACTGGAACAGCTGGATCTTTATACCATAGAACACCACACATTTTATGGTTCAGATTAAACAATGTTCCATTACATTTTAAATATTATGACAAATAACTGCCATTTCAGAGGCGTATTTGTTTTTGCCAATCAGAAAAAGTGAAAGCAAGTTGTTCTCTGCATCACAGGATATTCCATACAACATAGCTCTACATGGATAGACAGCTGCAGCAACACAGTTTCAGCTGCAGTAACACAGTTCCAATAAGAACTCGTATTTTACCCAGCCACCATAAAGAAAGTATTTATGATATTTCTAATCAAGATATAAGGCAGGTATCTAGGATAGATGTTTTAAATAATTATTTAAGAAGAAATAAGTGATCACATAGACAATTTTTAGAATGTTTCTTCTGTATAATTACAAGTTTCTCTTCCAAACAGCTATGTACAAATACATGTTTAATTATTCGGTGTTAGAACAAGGACAACGTCCTTTGCTTCTATTTTGAGGTGAAGTTCCTGAGATAATCTGAAAAACTTACTGATATCAGGCCCAGCAGGGACTAACATGTGGTGTCTTGGTCCACATTACACTTTGAGTTTAGAACAGCTCAGACATGTCACATATCACATATAAAAATGCAGCTTAACTAGGAAAACAAGGCATTGGTATGCTTTCTCTAGCACAGTGCTCTAGAGAAATTCTGCACAGATCTATCATGAGTCCTTTATAACAACAACGTTATGTAAGAACTAAATTATTTAAATGCACCCACAAAATTACAAAGGTACATACTAAATATGAACTGGCATCTGTCAAAAGAAAGAGTTCTTTGCTTATACCTGCAGGTTACCTTATAGTTAATATGCAAAAGCAAGTGAGTAATTTTCTAAGTAAGATGAAATAGGACAGGCTTCCTTCCCCACGTCCTCCTATATACTCACCTTGACTGCTTCGTCCAGAGATTTTATTATAAGAAACACTTGTCTTTAGAGACTCTGTTCTTGGAGCCAAGCTACCTGTAACTTTGGAAGCACAAGGCTATAGAGAGAAAATTAATGAAGAACTCTTCCACAGAAATGCTGTGGTATGGACTGGGAGGGGGCGAGGGTGTGAAGTACACCAAGATTCCTTTCCACTTAATAAAGGCACAATTGACTTCCATTAGAAAGATTGCATTTTTGACCTTCCCTGCTTTTCATTTTCAGAGCTCTTAGAGAATCTACTATAACACAGATTAGAACAGATACCAGTGTTACAGACTCTGCGATTGGGTCAATCCATCGTAGAGCTTACTGAATTTTATATCAAATGTATGTAAAACTGACACCATCTATACATGTGCAGCTTTCTTGGAAACAACGTGGAAGAACAGTATTACCTGATTTAAATGAAAGAAACCCTAAAACTTGGCATAGCAAATCAGTTTCACTTTGAATGAACTAGGGATGCTTACAAGACAAGTTATATCTGTATGGCGACAACTAAGTCTCAGACCTAAGTAAAGTGGTATGTTAGTGACAAAATGAAAAAAAGCATCATAAATAGAAAAACATAAACTTAATAATACAAGGCATTACAAACATTATAAATAGGAATGCAGTTCAACTTCTTCCAGCAAATCAGAACTTAAAATGCAGTCTACCAAGCAGCAGCATTAGGGATTTTGACTTCAGGTTTCCCAGTGACTACCCAATAAATCTGTTTGGATTATTATTATTTTACTACATGTTAAGTCCTATGAACAGTTCGAACTACGTAGCATGCTGAGCTTTCCACCTCATCCATCTCTACCAGGAAGGACCACTGGGCAAATCATGCTCCTCATGAAAAGGAACAGAGTAGGTTATAAGATATGAGATCCTGTCTCCCTTTTAAAAAATGCCTTTATGATATAGTAACACCAAACCATTTCTGTAGCCAGTCTATGAAGACACATTTTTTAAAGCATAATTTCAATTACAGTTCTGCTTGAAGCTTTCCTCTACCTATGATGTAGGATGTCTGGATAAACTGAAATGCAGTAGCAGAAGATGGAGCCAAAACCTAAGTAACAGAGGAGCATTTAGTTATCTACTGGAAAGGAAAGAGGAATGGTCTGTTCACAATATTTAAAAAACACTGTTGGGATGGGGCGGAGCACACAAAATGATTAGTCATATTTATCAGTTGTCTTGGTGTTTATAGCCTAAGCTGTGTTCAGTGTGATTTTTGCTTAGTTATTTTTTTCAATGTCTCTTTAGTGCTACACTAAATTTTCAACATTACAGAAAAAAATAATCAGTTTACAAAAATATTGCCACTGAAATTTTAAGCAGTTTGGCTCTGTAAAGTACTAAACCCCCTTACATTTTATAAAAGCTTCCACACTGTTCTAACTATAGTTTTATAAACTATATTTGTATACTTAACACCCTACTTTTCTCCCTGATTTAAGAAAAGTCCAAAGCCACATGCTCCAACAAACGTCTTACTGCAAACTATGACAGTGGATGTATAAATTCTTTCTGGAATATTACGGAGCCTAAATGATGTTACCATTCTGAAACTGTATTAGTAATCAAAGTTTCAATGTACTAACTTGAACTACTCCTATAGCCTCGTAGGACAGATGGAGGAAGCATAGAAATGTATGACTCATACTCCATAGTTTTCAGGCAGACTCTTTGTAAAATTTCATTGCAATATTTATATTAAAAAATTGGGTTGCTAATTATAAAAAAAAATAAACATTAAAGCCAAAGTATCAGCAGTTATACAGAGTTCAGTGAAAAATGCATCTCTCAGTCTTCAGCAAGAAGAGACGTAGATTCCTTACATAGGAGGAGAAGCTTAACCTGACACTTACAACTCTAGGTACCTGAAAACATTTTTAAATTTTATTTAATTTTTTTAACAACTTGCAACATAAAGTGAATTTACAAGGTTACAAAGAACATACTTAATGTTATACTCTGGTGCAGTATGGACAAAAAGTGGAGAAAATAACTTACAAAGCCTCCGTCATCACCAAGGCTGATCCAACAACAATACAGCTTTTATCAGGACAGTTTTAAAAACTGTTTTCACACTAACTTTAGTAGGAACAACATATATAATAAAGTGTACCTTACCTTTTTATCGCCCTGTTTTCGTCTCCGTAGCCCTGGTCTGTAATCATCTCCAAAGCGCAGAAAGTAATAATAAGAAACTAGTCGTTCTATAGGATCTCTTATGACATTTATGTAAATTGGCTTCTTTTTAACACCAAATCTAAAGTAAAAAAGGAAAAAATGTCTTTTAAAGGCCAAATCAAAGCTTCTCATCTAATACTGAAAAGCCTGTCTCCATTGGTACAACTGAAATCTATATACAGAGAAGATGATGGCAAGAGGAAGTTTAATGATCACTTCCTCTCATCCTCATACCCAGTACGTTACATGAATGTGGAAGTCAGTGCAATTTCAGTTTTCCTAGGATTGTGATTATAGGGTTTTTTTATTAGAGAAACAAGCAAAATTGAAATATGATGACACAATAGATACTAAAAATGTTTCTACTACCATCCTGACTCTATAGAAATGCCTTAATTAGTCTAGCAGCCACGTATCTGTTTATAAGTACAGGAAGTTCGATATTGAGTTCCTGCCCTTCTGAACTGTGCTATGCAATGCTGCAAGTGGGTTTCCTGGCAGGTCTTCACCTCTCAGAGACATGAACTATAACAGAAGGAAGACAGAACTCAGAGCCCATCCACTACCTCGGTTGAATCCATACGGCTATGCTTATTAAATGTAAGCCTAAGATAGTATCTGTAACTGCATTAACTTTTCTATCTGAAGAGATAAAACTTTTCCTTAGACATTTACCCTAAGCAAATTTTGATTTACCATGGTACAATCAGGAAGCTTGACAAAAGGAGGTGGTAAGCTCATGGGACACACAAGAAAGATTTAAACCACCAAAACTGTTTTGTACAAATGCTACCTTTCAGTGATCTACATTCAGGACAGTTTTTATGATACATTTCTCAGTTTTACTTTCTTTTCCATTTGAGACATTAATGTTTGGGTACCATATTTATTTGCCACAGTAAAGAGGTTATATCGCAATGGGAACTACAAATGTGCCAAGTGCCCTGAAGTAAAGCTAAGAGCTGGAAAAAAAAAACTCTCTTATGTTCCCATGTAAACTGGCAAATTGTTCTCCATTGACAGAGGGCCATTCAAGTCTCCTAGCTTGGCTGAAACAGAGAGCACTCATAGTTTTAAGATGCAGTACCATTATTGCTAAAGTGGTGTTCTGTAAATTATAATACCAGATACTGCTTATATGAGGATTCTTAAGTTGAAAAGCTGAAGAACAGAAACATAGAAGAAGGAGCAAAAAAGAGGAAGTTAGAAAAAAAAAATTAAAAGGCATTACTTTATCAAAAGACCAGCACTACAGACACAGAAATTTTTAAAGGCTACAGAAAGGGCAACTGATTCTTCAGATGCTGCCAGCAGAGTAGGAATTAACCAGACTGTAGCAGTTAAAGCTGGTATTGATGACAGATGTCTGTATGCCAGCTCTTACTCCCAAAGTCTGCAAAATAGGAGTCTGTGACTGTTTCAACCATTTTGATGCAAAGTCCAGACTTTGAGCTGCACCTGCTTTCAGGTCCGCTGAAGTGCCTGAGACATGCATGTGTGTCCCCTTCTGCAGACTCTACTGCAAGTGCTGTACAAGGCTGTGACAAACCATTTTGATATAGTAGCAGACTCAACCAATAATATATATCTGTGGGCTAAATTAAGGTGTCAAAGCCCTTGGAAATGTTTGTGCTGGATTGTACATACATATGGATTTGCACATGATCTGGGCAAAAAATTAATCATTTAGGTGAAAGGATAACAAACAACAAACACAAGGATAACACAGTCCTGGAGGGACAATGCAAATTAAAGAAATCTGTGAAATTGTTTAGATGCTTTCTAGATGTAAAATAATTATTCCAATTTTAAAAGTTCCAGTATCTGAAATTGTTTTCAGCTTTATGAAGTGAGTAATGTATAAAATGACATTCACCTTTGCTGTTCCAGAAAGCTGTTATGCAGTTCAGGGGTTTATTAATGTTGCAGCATTCCAACTTTAAAAAGGCAGAAAGTAAGCTAATGAAATTTGATACATTTTATTTTATTGATTGATTTGCAATTAAGCCCTCTTGCCTGTTACTTTTTGTAAATTTGAAGTTTTTACTTGGTGCCATTGGTAATTTCCAGCTACTACTATAGCTTTTAACATTTGCTATTCTATAATATACTGTTCTGGGAATCTCTGAAGCTCTCACTTCCCCTTCTCATTCTTTGTAATAAAAAGCTAGAATTAAAAATCAGTGTACATAACAGGATGAAAAATTAAAAGCAATAAGCAAACAAAAATTCTTACATACAAAAACCTAATTTCATTAAATAAATGTTTTCATACACAGAAACAGAACATTACTGAGGACTGACCAGCAGCAAGAGATAAAAGTAGTGGTTAGCTACTGTTTGTGCAGTCGAGAAAAATCCACTTTCAATTTTAAACCATTTTCCACATGCTGCAAGTGCGAGATGAAGCACTGCATAGTAAGCATCTTAAGCAAAACTGACTTGCCAGTTCAAGGGAAGGTTTCACAAGACTGAGCTACTGAGGATCACTGCTTTAGATCCAGAAGTCAAAAAAATACCAGAAAAGAAACACATGGAAGCAAGAATACAGACATGATCCTGAACCTTTGAAGTCACTGGGGGGATTTTTACCTCATTTTCTTTTAAATTGATTTTAGAAGTAACAGGATTTAACTCCACAAGAATTATTTCAGTGCTTTTTAGAGCAAGACAAATTACTATAGGCCAGAGAACTGCTTTAAAATATAACTTTTAATATTTTGATACAGTGTAAAGGGACAATCTGATCAAGAAGTGGCAGGTGGTATCACTTGTTATATGAAACATATTTGAGAACAGGTATCTTAAACTTCCCAGAATGGGAAGCTAATCCTAAAGCAGAACTGCCAATGTTCCAGAGAAAATTCAGGATTTTCAGTAAAACAACCTTGTAATTCAGTCAAGGAATACTAAACCTAGCATACAAATAGTTTATTGGCTACATTTTATCATGCAAAAAGACAAGAGTAAACTGTGAAAATCAAAACCAAACATTGCTCATCTTCGGAATTTCAGCGTGTGAATTTTTCAAAACTGCAGTTGTCAGACTTCCATCACTAGAGGGCACTAATATCCCAGCAGGATCCAAGAAACTTAAACTACTATGCTACTCAACAGATAAATTCAAGGGTAACCTACTTTGCAAAGTCCAAATATGAGATATGTCCATGGTAAAATCCTGGTTTCATTTCCTTCCAGGAAGTCACATTCTTCACAAATCGGACCTGTAAAAGCAGGCAGCAGAAAGTGTTTCCGTACAGCTGGAACACATTTAGCTTCCTCATACGTGGTATTCTCTGGTTTTTAAGTAACATCTCATAATGCATTAGAAAAAAAGTCTGTTTTGAATATTACCAAATAATTTGTGCCAGATAAAACAGACTTTTCTGAAAGCATACAGAGGACCTATTTCAGATCATCACAATTTAATGATCAGAAACTAAACAAAAGCAGAATATAGCAATCAGAAGGAAAATTTAAGGAAAGCTATCACAAAAACATTAGCAAGACAAACATTTAAATTTTTGTCACTCCATTTTATTTGTAATTTGAAAGGAATGAGGAATTCCCTTAGCAAGAAGTAGAAATGCAAGTACAGCTTTGATGGAATTGTCTGATCTGTATTTAGTCACTCAAATAAAACTGTACCAGATTTACAAGCATGTTCTTAGACTTCTTTTAGCAAGACATAAGAAACAAATCCGATCATTCATTTGCTCCTCCATACCAAAGTGCAACACATGAGTAATCCAGAAATTGTATTAATGTATACACCGTAAATTAGATCTACAGTTTAATATTTTGAATAGTTACCTTAAGCCTAACATTTCAGTGTAACTTCCATGTTAAAGCAACAAGTAGCCCTTAAACAAGGGCTGATAAAGCAGTTATCGGCAAACTTCACAAAAATAGGAATAGTTTTTAATTTCAAAGATAAAAACAAGATACACGCCCCAAACCAGAAAGTATGATCAAATTAAGTGGGACATGGAAATCCTGATACAGCTTGGCTTTATTAGATGAACAGAATATTTTAACATCAAAGCATTTAACTCTGAAAGTTATTTCAAAACTAGTGAATTGGATAATGAAGAAAAGATGATAAATTTGTACTGCCTGAGCTGTCTGACAAAGATATGCTATTTCTGAAGCTGAGAATTAGAAGACAGCATTCCCTGCACATCTACAATATCTTTTCTGTTACACAGTGACATGGATAACCACAAAGATACTGAGGTGAGACAAGAAAGAAAAAACCAGGAAGTTTTGAAAGCTCAAGACAGCACACTAACATTCTGTAAGGTCTAATAGATTGAGTGTTCTGAAACATGATATTTATTATTTATTATAACCAATTGAGGATTCCAAGAAGCAAGACTGGCCTCCTGCTGTTTCTTCAAATGTGCAAAACTCACAGTCTAGGATTTAAGAGGTTGATAACCTTTACTTATTTCTTGAAACACTGGCTCCTGGACTCTCAGGTAAAAGAAATGGATATTACTTTTTAATAACAAGCAGTGTCATTTTTTCAGTGTACAAGTTTCACAGTCTGTGGCATTTCACAATTTAAATCATATATTGCACATAAAAATTGTGGCAAATCTAGCTGAAAAACACTGCACAATGTTGTACAATGGTGTTTCATAAACTGCATTGGCTTTCTGTCTGGTTTGTTCACAGCACAATCTGATAATATATCTATGAGACTTTTTGAATCCAGTTGAACTACCTGTACTGCTACTGAAACAAACCACACTTTCATTGACTGTACCTTTCAAAGATTAATGACAAGATATTTTCAGTGGAGAGCCTCAGCTATGAATATTTCTATACCTAGGAAAGAAGTTTCCTTAATGCAAAGTATATATTATTGTCCCTTCCTTCATGGTTGGTTGATGCAACCCCACAAGTAAAGCAGTTATGCCACCTATTGTGTGTAGTGCAGCATGCACATCAAAGCGTGCATTTCACTTACATTTCCATGAACAAGCTTTCTGAAATCTAATTTCAGTTACTAATCTCAGTTTCTAATAGACTAGGACTAGACACAGGGAAATGTTAAGTGCAAAATCCCAAGGGTCAGTTCTGCCTTAGATCCCCATGCCACCATCTGGCATCAAACTTCAGGTGCTCCGGTGATAGTTAAAAAAAAATCCTTTATTGTTTTTGTCTTACAATGTCACTGTCTGATAAGGAAATATTATTTTACGGACATAGAATGGATGTTCTCATCTTTTATTAACACCAGACAAGATAAGAGAATCATAGTATTATAGAATAGTTTGAGTTGGAAGGGTCGATGGAGGTCATCTAGTCCAACCCCTGTGCAGTAAGCAGGGACACTTTCCACTAGATCAGGTTGCCCAAAGCCCCATCCAACCTGACCTTGAATGTTTCTGGGGACAGGGCATCTACCACCTCCCTGGGCAACCTGTGCCAGTGTTTCACCACCCTAAGTGTAAAATATTTCTTCCTTAGATCTAGTCTAAACCTTTCCTCTTTTAGTTTAAAACCATTACCCCTTGTCCTATTGCTACAGGCCCTGTTAAAAAGTCTATCCTCATCTTTCTTATAAGCCCCCTTCAGGTACTGAAAGGCCACAATCAGGTCTCCTTGGAGTCTTCTCTTCTCCAGGCTGAACAACCCCAACTCTCTCAGCCTGTCCTCACAGGGGAGGTGTTCCAGGCCTTCGATCATTTTCGTGGCGCTCCTCTGGACCTGCTCCAACAGGTCCATGTCCTTCCTGTGCTGAGCAGGCTCAGAAGGTTTTATAAGACAGCTGTGACATTTACATCTGCCTTAAGATGGACCAGCAACATGTTTTGCCCTCGAGAATTTAAGTTTTTAACACCTATAACTAGCCTGCAGGCAACAAATTATTTCCCCCCCACCCCACTTTGCAGCATTCCAAAAATCAGAATTGTTCCAAGTCACAGACAGCCTAATGAGTCTGGATTTACACGTTTTAGGGCAGCAATGAATATTGCTTGCTGGTTCATACTGTTAAATATGATCAATTTTACCTTTCTTTTCAAGGCTTAGCAGATACTGGAGCTTTCAAGAGAAGCTTAAGCAAGCTTCTCCATCTGAACCCTGAATAAAATTTTAGGTTACTTTAAAAGTTCAGATAGATGTGAATGGAGTTCCTGTGAAGTTGTTTCACCGTGCTTTTATATAATCAGCTACAAAGTTGCTTCACAGCCTTTAGTAAGTGAGAAATGAGCTGAGCTTCACTGAATTAAAAAGCCAGATCAAACATACTCTGGGGGCATAAGATGTCCTGCAAGGTAAGTTAAATACATTCAGTTTCTAGGACGATAAGAATTTAAAACAAGTCCCAGTGAGCCAAAAGGAAAAAAACAAAACAAAACAAACCAACCAAGTACATTAGGTCTGAGCAAAAAGCCCTGGGAAATGTGTGTGTGCAAACCAAAGTGATGTTGTGAGCTGTCACCTCTGTCCGCTAACTGCTTCCATCAATCTCTACAGTCTGAACACACACCTACAAACCCCGTAACCCCAGAGGTGGTATAGTCATTACTCTGTGGCTGGGTATCACATGGACTTTTAGAAACTGAAAAAGCCCCAGCTTCTAACATTGTTATAGTCTAGTTCTGTTTGTCAATTGCTGAATAAACTGACTTAAAATTACAAATAACTAGGGGGATGAATGTCACAAGCCCAGCCTGGTGAGGACACGCAAGGATTTTCCATTTGAACTACAAAAAAGGGGCTTTCAAGTAAGACTGAAGACCAACACGGTGTCAAACTTCAGATTCTGACTTAAAGACCAAGCATAATGGGATGACTGAACCAGAAACCCTCTGCAGGAAGGCAATGGTAGCTTAGCTATCCAAATTGTCATACAAGCTAATAACTTAACAGTTGCTCTAAATCAGAGGGTTGGGAACATTGAGAACAGGCTAGCAGCACACCTCTGTCTGCAGGCTATGAGAAACCACAAGCAAGCCCAAGACAAGCGTAGCTGAGAAGTAATTTTGTGAGATGGCGAAAAAAGAGTTCAGTTCAGCCACGGTACAGCCAGGATGCCCATTTCACATGAAGAGTTCTTTCTCAGAAGGAAAAATACAATTGCCTCACGTACAGCAGTGGACAGTAGTACTCACTAGGCCATCTAACTCCAAGAGAAAAATTTTTAAATGTTCAGGAGCACATGACAGTACTTCCACTTCTACCAGAGCTGCTGCAACCTTTTACCTGTTCCACTTCTAACAGCCATCGAAACCTTCACCAGCAGAGAAAATAAGTACTACTGAAGTCACCATAAGCGCGCTATCCTCTGAGAGGCTGCTGCTTTGGAATACATTTGGAAGGAAGATACTTTCAGGATGCTCTTTTGAGAAAAATTAATAGAGAAACTGCAGGAGAAAAAAGACCAACAAACAGAAAACAGCAAGCCAAGGTAGTGAAATGCTGGATACCATGGCTTTTCTATGTTCACAACGACAGTACAGGGAATGTGTTCTCATATCCCCTTTTCTAATTATATGTCAAGAATACATGCCTCAAGATAGAACAGTAGTTTAGTTTTAAATGTTTTAGATGACAATTTTACCATGTAATAAAAAACCTCAAGTTTGTGTGGCTGGTACGCCATCCAACTATCCATAACAAAGGCATACTTACAGGGACAAAAAGTATCAGTACTGAAACATGCCAGTAACAAATGAAATCCAACCAAGCAGCTACTCTGATTTAATGAGAGTTTTTGTTACAGACCACACAGATCAGAAATGCAACATGGGCAACATGGCATTCAGCTTGCTGCAAAGAAAAGGCCCAACCTGTGGAAAGAGGGCAGTTCACAGGATCCTGCTGTCAGAGAAGCTCTAAAAGAAAGACGGGCTGTTGGGACAAGTCCATCTGAAACTAAAATGGATGCATTAGGGACTGTTATCAGATTATCTCAAATCAGGTACAAATTATATCTGGAGTGGACTTTAAATAGGGTTTTTTTTCAAATTGCATTCAAGAAGCAAAGGTTTCACACATAGGCAGAGAACTTTACATCTCTTACAAAATTAGAATAGTTTTGAAAAAGTACAGCAGAAGTAGTGCAAAACAGAGGGCTTACAAATTTATGCCAGGTCCCAGACAATCTTCACCTTGCTTAGGGAGGTGTGTTTTAGCATCATTGATATGAAAATTTTACCTCTATGATGTATTTATGTATTTTACTACTGGTGCACCTAATGCACTCAAGTCAGCTACACTGATGAAGGTGATGCGAATATTACATGCATACCTAAGCCCACAAAGAGTAAACCTTCATCAGCTACTGCTCAGCATCCTCACCATCTCCAGATTGCAATATATGACTTACAATGGCAAGTTGCTATCTTGAAATGCTGAAGGCAAATAATTATTTATTCTTCTTTAAAAAACCATGCAATATGTAAAGATACTGTCAGCATCTCCCAGCTAATGGCCACTGAAGAAGGAGTATCAACTGTCTAATTAAACCACACAATATACCACCTTGGACAACAGCATAGTATCACATCAATGTAGGGCTGCTAGTATTGTATACATGCCCAGCACTGATGGATTTTCATTTATCAGTAGCTAATTATTACACAGAAGTTGAGCAGGAGAGGTTCTCTTAGATAAATCTAAGCCAGTAAAGAACAAATTTGACTTGAATGAAATTCAAACAAAAGTAGAAATTTAAGGGAAGGTTGCCTGTGTTTAATTTATACCATCAGTGACTAGCTCTCCTATCCACTACAACTCAAAGAGATACCTTGACAGAAACAGAATCTGTGTTTGGAAGTACAGCGCTAAGTATGACTGACCTGAGCAGGACTTTTAATTAACAGATATAGGCTTGTTAAATCTTTTGAAAAATCTCTCTGCTGTTGGCACACAGGTCTTTACTACTTGTTCTCTGCAGTGGATAGGACTATAGGGACTGCTACCAGACTTACTCTTAGTAATCTCAGTAATCATGTATGACAATATCACCTTTATATTTAGGAAAAGATTTCACAACAGCAAAAACCCAACAGTAACACAACCCCACAACCACAAAACAGGTTCCCAGTCCCACCCCAAGTACACTCTACATCCCCTGCACCGAGATCCCTACTCTCAGTCTTTGTCCCACATACAGAACTGAAAGTGGAGGGCCCTGTTCCATCTGCTTCCCCTCGCCCCCCTCCAGCAGCTGTGCTGAGCTGCTTCTGCCTGTAGGCAGGCACTTAAAGGAGCTGGAAGCCTCAGTGCTGACATGCTGCAGTGCAGAACAGCTCCTGCCTCTGCCGCCCATCAACTTAAGATGATCAGCATACAAGTGGTAGTACACACTTGAGAGTTTGGAAACATTTGTTTTATGGGCAGGGATGACGACATAGTGATGTTTTAGACCTCTGACCTCAATTCCTTGCATGTGAACTCATGACGAGCAAAAAGATATATTATTTTAAAAAATAAAACGAAACCCCTACCCCCTCACCACACCCCACCTCAAGAAAAACAGAGCACTGATCCTCCATCATCTTTTTTTACTACTCATCATCTGAAGCAGTGGTAGCCATGATCATTTCTAGCCTGGGACTACACTGATTTTAGCGACCGATGACAGAAGTGCAGCCCTGACAGCCAGGCACAGTGTCTGCGCTACTCAGAGACCAACGCACGTAAGACTGCATTCACTGCAGAGGGAGACGACAGGCAAGTATGATTACACAGCCAAAAGCCAGACAGTTGACAATACAATAAACTTTTACAGTTACAACAACAAAGGTCACTTGTGCCCTAGCTGTGGTCCTTTTTAGCTTTGTTTTTGTCTGATAAACAGATACTTACCACCTCCAGTAGACCAGCAAAAACCTAAGCTTATTATTTAATAAATAATATTATTTGTCTACAAAGTAAATGTAAACACATTAGAAGTCTTTTATACTGGAAAATATGACATAAAAGCCAATTCTATGAGACCATTAAGTTTGCAATAGCAAAAAAGTTTTCCGTACTTTCTTCTTGTTTAATAAAGACATCCCAAAGGCAGCAGCTTACCTGATCTTGCAGAGACATAACAGGATTATTTTTGGTTGTATTGATATGTAGAACATGATATTTGTTCTTTGCACAAAGATCATAGGCAATATTTGTGAAGGATGTGCTGGCAGTCTTAGGTACTCTGTTGTAAATAATCACCACATCATCTTCTTCATCCAGTGTCACATCTTGTCGAGGACCATCTACTGTATGACGTTGTTCTATTTCTCTGACTTCATGTCTTGCAATAGCCCTTTCTGTTAAGGACGACAAATACAAAATTTTGATGTAAATATCACCAATTTTGAAGTTCAAACCAGAGACTGCGAATAACCTGGTGAAGAGCAGTAACTCCTCAGCAATAAAGGAAACATTTGCTGTCATATATATTTCTGACATATCTGAAGTAATCTGTAAAATATATGAATGATAAAAGGTGAGTTAGTCTGACACAGAACACAAAGACTAGAAAACAATATACTTAGGGAACACATACTGTATTCTATGACTCATGCTAATGTTACTGAAAGCCATCATCTCTAAAGAAAAACGCCTATGAAGTGCTATCAAAATGTTACATCCCCAAAACATCCCAAGTAATTTCTACAAAACAACTATTTAAAAATTATAATAAAAGCACTAGCTCGAGCAATTGGGAGAATATGAATTTTCTGAAAATAGCAGAAATACTAACACTAGAGATTTAGTCGATTAACTGTGTAGAGGCACTGCAATTCAGATGAAAACATTGTTTTGTTATTTCAATTGATACAAGCCCCAAGTACAAAGCATTACAACAAAAGGGTTTGCAAAAATTCAAGTAGATTTATTAATTCGAAGTTTGACAAGAACAGAAGCAAGAGGTGCTTACGAAACAGTTAACATGAAGGTGAAGAGTGATCTCTGAGTACTGAAATATATCAAATACATCAAAAAGAAACATGGAAAAGCAAGCTATGAACCTTTTGGCAAGGTGAATTCATTGCAAATAAACTATTTTTCCTTTTATACAAAGGGCAATACTCAGTAATTGAACTCTGCTTCAAGAGCAAAAGCCTATTTGGAAAATAAAAACCACAGTATTACGGCTTTTTTTTTTTTCTGCTGCTGAATATCAAATACTTTGTGCTGATTCAGACACAGCTTTGTTCTGTTCCAGGTAAGTATATACTTTAATACGATTTGTAATACAGATGTCAAAGCATCTTTTCTGATTCACTTATTGTGATATTGCCTTTAATAATGTATTCAAAGAAATCTGCGTTGGCCGACAGTGCACGCTGAAGTTGGTACCACAAGAGTAACCTGTAATTCTCTGTATGATGTTCTTACACAGGGTATAGCTTTCTGGACGACATGCTTTTAACAGCAGCAGCTCTTGGCCTTTACTACCCTTGCTTCCTGTAACCCAGCTCCTTCTATTCTCTTTCACCACATCTCTTTAATTATAATATAAAATCACTTCTAAAGCAGAATCATTAAGCTGTGAACACCACTAGCCTGTAATTCCACATAAACTGTCTTCAACCACAAACTTCCATCTGTCTGAAATGCTTCAAAGCTTAAACTCACACACTCTCTCACATGCTCATATCTCACACTCCATAACTAAGTTACATCAGTATGAAAATGTTTGTAGAAAATGCTTATTGAGTGTATCTCAATTTTCCACATGACATCTGTTGCTCCCCACTACATCAGTCACAGTTTTTGCTCCTTCCTTTCTCTTCTGCTACCTCTCCCATCACTGCTGGCAAACATCCTATTTTGGAAGGAGATGAGACAAGAGACTCGGGTTTCATCTATCCGAAGATGGCTACAACAAAAAGGGGCTGGCAACTCTCCCCTTCCTGCCAGGAACAGATTAGAGGAAGCATTTGGTAGGGGACATAGTTAACCACATGGCTGCCCTGGGCTACATGGATACTTAATACCACCTAGAGAGGCTGAAATGAAAGAAATTTAATTTGTATTTTCTACACCAGAGTAGTAGATCTCTGCTAGATTTGAATCATAACTGCACAGAACTCCAGGGCTGATGAGACTGGCTGGTGCTGAGGGAAACTCTAAGAAGTAAACATTTGTGAGAAACAGACATGATTTGCAGGAAGAGTGATGAGAAGTGTTCCTCTAATGAAGTATTTGAAACCATGATGATTCAAGAATTAACATGATAAGTGCACTTTAAAGCTTATGCATCAGATATAAAAGATGTATCATTAGATGCAATTAGCAGAAAGGCTATTGCATACAATCACCTTCAACTTCGTAGGGTGAGAGAGGAAAGCAAGAACCCACGCAAAGAGGAGAACCTCCACAAGTGTGAAGTACACAGACAGTTCTATTATTAAAAAGTAGGTTTTAAATGTCAAATTAAAATGAAAACTAATCTTTATAATGATGTGGTGGGTTAGCCCTTGGCTCGG